AAAAAAATATTATTAACTTTTTAGTTCGATGTTCTTTAAAAACGTGTTTTTTACTTTTTTTGAACTATATTTACTTTATCTAAACTTTGAGATCCATCAGCCATATATTGTTTAGAAAAATGACCATTGATATTTTCCGACTCCAACTACCAAGCCCAAGGCAGCAGGCAGGCAAAGAATGGTTACAAATAAAGCAGCAGGCGCGCGAAGGAGGGTTACAAGTAAAGCAGCAGGCACGCGTGTTAATGAAAAAAATACTTTTTGCAAATGAAGAAATACATGTGAAGTGAGTTCGAATTATATCAAGAAAGTTACGTACAGCGCCATCTGCCTGCGACTGGATCAAGTAATAAGGTCGATATATCAAGGAAGTTACGTACAGCGCCATCTGCCGGCGAATTGATCAAGCCATAATGTCGATAAATCTGGAGTTACAAACTGACAAACAAACAAACATACATACGTACAGGTGAAGCTGATATAAAGCTTGTAAAAATTGGAATTTGGTCATTGACGTATTCTGTTTATATATTCGAATATTCTGTCCCCTATGATTGTACTTTCAAACAAGTGTTCTTCTTGAAATTTCTCGTTATAAAATTGATTCAATTTGAGAGTTGATATTTTGTTTTATATCCATTCATTTAGCTAGAAATGTTTCAGAAAATAATCTTTTCGAATACCAATTGACCTTAATATTTCTTCAAATAATTGTAGATTTTTTAAAACTTTTGTTATTTTTGAGCAATATCAATCTGGATGGAGCAAGTTCTGCATCAATTTATCATGTGCAGATGTTGAATTGTGCAATTTGTTAGGTTATGTTAATGTCTCTTGTACTGAGTAACCATTCGAAAAAAAGCATTTATTATTATTATTTTCTGAATAACAAAGTTTTCTTTGAAACATTGGAATTTATCGGCACAATTTTCACGTGCTGTAATATTACTTTCTATAGGTGAATAAATGTTCATACCTTTAATATTATAAGTACCATAACTGGGATATGGATACATAGTTTTATCAGATACTCTCCAAGAAGTCTGTCGTTGAAGGTCATACACGATGATGGAATATGTCTGACAATCTGCCGAGTAGACGAAAGTATTGTGACATTGGTTTCTTCTGTCTCTTATCTCCACAACCGGTGTAACTAGGGTAGAACGAGATTCTAGCTGACTGGAGGGAATTTCATATCGATGGAGGAGTCTATTCTGAAAAAGTAGTTTTTGTATCGAAGACTGATTACCCTGTGAACAAACTTCAAAGAGCATGTCCTTCAATGGTCAAAATAATAAAAATATAAATGAGTATTTCGAAAATCGTTAAGTTCAAGAAGTATCCTGAAGTGACAATTATTTAAAACATAGATACATCTCAGATGCATTTGAACAGATGAAATAAAAATTTTACTCGT